GCCATCGACATCATCATCGTCATCATTATTGTCATCGTAGTCATTATTACCTTCATCATAACCGTCATTGTTATCATCATCCCCTCATCATAATTATGATCATAATTAATTCACTTTTTTTCTGGGCATCAAGATAAACAAGGTTTAAAGATGTATTGTCTCTTAAAAATGAGAAAAAATCATAAAAATAGTTTTGAAATTAACTTGTTTATTTTTGCAGTGGCATACATATTTTTAACTTGTCAAGTTAAAAATATGTATGCCACTGCAAAAATGAACAAGTTAATTTCAAAATTATTTCAATGAGCAAAGAAATTATTGAATTTCAAAAATGTGTACTCTTATTTTTAAACTGAATAATTATAATAAAATAATGAAACACTTCCATTGACTGGAAGTGTTTCTATCATTTTTCTTTGTACAATGACGGGTAAATATTTTTTAAATACACTAATGTTTATGTTCATGTTAATAATTTGTATGTTACTTAAAAATGGGCAAGTTAATTTCCAAAATGATTCAGCGGCATTGTGTACAATGACGGGTAAACATTTTTTAAATACACTAATATTTATGTTCATGTTAATAATTTTTATGTTACTTAAAAATGGGCAAGTTAATTTCCAAAATGATTCAGCGGCATTGTGCCGCTCTCCACTTACTAACTGGATCACCCTAATGTTAGTACTCTGTTATTTATTTATTACTAGGGTAGATCTCTCCATGGAAGTATACGTGTATGGTCTGTCTGCATGAATATACCGAAGGTTGACTAAAATTTATGTGTAATCGCTAAAAGGCCTACCAGAAGCAAACACAGCACTTAACTTAATTTTTTTTTACAATTCTAGTGATAGTATATAACCTCTAAAGCGTGATCAATAACCTATTAATGTTCCAGGCTGAACTTTGCAAGCAAATTTAATTAAAATTGTACGAGTAATATGTTCATAACATGTAGGCTGCAGGTCCATTTGTGTGGACCGTGTAGTGTTTCACTTATTGCATATTCTGTATATTTTTCATAGCTGAATACCCTCCACATCGTGTAAATACAATTACAGTATGTTATAGTCTTTTTTAGTTTATGCATTATATATGTGTGACCGGTCGACGACTTGATACGTGAGAGGCGTTATAAAACAAACAACTACCCAGATCAGCCTGACCGCATGGGCTGGCGCGTGCTTGACTTTGACACGAATAAATAATTAGACGAACAATGTAATAGGTTTCGACAAGAATATAATTGGCACAATATATTCATTCAACACAAGAATACATATTGAAGATCAAACAACAATATAAAGTATAAGTCAATTAAAATTGTAACTTATGATTTGTTGGACATCTAAGGTAGCGACGCGACTTGTCTCCTAAATTCGCTTGGTGTAACTGGACGCTTTACATTCACAATCCACAGCACATCAGACACACGACCAGATCAAGTATGCACGCGGACGCTTCCGTTGCTCTCATCTGTTGTTTCGGTAGCTGGACACCCCTAACAGATCACTACTTCGCTCAAACTGTAATAATGAGCAGAGTGTCGAGGATGACAACACAGCAAAGATATAGTCTGATGTTATAACTTGCTTGCCAAAATTTGTTTGTGTCTAGCCCCATTTATATAATTAAGTCAAAAAGACTAGCATAATAGATAATACAATTTTATAGTATACAGGGCTATAATCATAATTTCAGTAGCATTAAACATGAATTACGTTATTAGAAATACCTCATAGGATTATACAATATCACAATAAACATAATTGTGTAAGTTTGAATAACGTGAATCAATTGTTCAATCTTTAGCATAAAATATGAAATGCCTTGCTTCAAATATTAAAAGGTACATTAAGGATAAGACCCATAAAAGACTGTACAGGGACATCACTCTAATACTAATTCATATTACTTGAACTGTATTATCGACTAACAGTGGTTGGCAGTAATATATAGTGCATTTGAACATAGTAAACAAGTTATTCTAAACCTTTAAAGATACATTGGTTTTTACCTGTTATAATGAGCAGAGTGTCGAGGATGACAACACAGCAAATATATAGGCCTTGGCTGATGTTATAACTTGCTTGCCAAAATGTGTTGTGTCGAAATCTACTTTCAGTTGGGGTTATATGCATGACAATGATTACCTCATCATCCTAAAGATTTCG